TTTAATTATAGGTAAAAAAAAAAAACGTAAGTGTAACGCATATGGCTAGACATACGTTAACTTTCTGGCTCGCGACTTAGCTAAACTGAAGTGTTCGCCGACTATAAATATGGTAATGATGGAGAAGACGCCATGTGGGACAGTGGGTGCGCGCGCTAATGCAATGCTGTTTGCTAACCGCCACAACAGGAAAGAAGAAACATAGATAATCTATACACAAGGGATGTGACACGAGGCAATTTTCCATTTGATTTTTATCTATTTGTATCTCTTTCTGTTAAATGCAAGTTTTAATGATCAATTTCCATCATAATAGACAGAACGATTGATAGATAGACTGCAAAAAATGCTTTTCTCACTCAGTATTTTGTCTTGTTTCCAGTCCAAATATCAAAAAATTCTTAAATCAAGATTCATTTATTAGATGAGTAAAATGACATAAGATCATTTTTGTTTAATTCCCCCGGAAAAAAGGACATACTAAGTGAGTTGATGCTTAAAAAATGCAAAATGATCTCTCAATGGGGTCAGAAAAATAATGTTAATTCAAACAGAAACAAGATTATTTTTCTGACCCCGTTGGCAGATTGCTTTTTTTTTTTTTTTTTTTTTTTTTAAGCAAAAAAAAATCACTTAATTCTAATAATCTCTTGGTGGTAGAGAAAGAATTGTATAAACTAAAGAATTGGTTTGATTTGAATAAATTGTCACTAAATTTAAATAAAACGAAATTCATGGTATTTAGTAATAAAGAGTTAAATAATGAGATCAGGATTACTATTAATGAAAATATATTAGAAAGAGTAAATCATATAAAATTTCTTGGAGTAATTATTGATTGTAAAATGACATGGAAACCGCATATTTTTAACGTTCAGAAGAAAGTATCAAAAACGATTGCAATTTTGTATATACAAAGTTGCAGTATATCTTGAGTAAAAATGCATTACATTTACTTTATACTTCACTTCAAATTTGGGGAAACACATACAAAACTAGAACCAATCCAATTTTTTTATTACAAAAGAAGGTTATCAGATTAATTAACTATGCACCTTACAATGCGCCAAGTACTTTACTGTTTCATCAATCAAAAATTTTGAAGTTTTATGATTTAGTTGATTTGTACACGTTAAAATTTATTTACCAAGTTAATATAATAAAACTCCTAAATGTTTGCAATTATTATTTTCCCAGCGAGAAAGTAAATATGATCTTAGAGGATTATGTATATTTAAAGGGTTAGTTCACCCAAAAATGAAAATTCTGTCAGTATTTACTCACCCTCATGTTGTTCCAACCCCGTAAGACCTTCGTTCATCTTCGGAACACAAATTAAGATAATTAGGATATTAAAATCGCTCCTGCATACAGTCCATAGGCTTCTTGAGGGACTGGCTCTTGCTGTCCTCGAAAAGTAATTGAAGACATCGTTAAAATAGTCCAAGAGACTACAGGGGCTCAATCTTAAGTTTATCAAACGACGAGAACACTTTTGTGCGCAAAAAAACAACAAAAATAATGACTTTATTTCAACTATTCACTTCCTTCTCCATAAGCCTATAGTCCGTTAACGTAGTGTGATTGCGTAGAGCTACGTCACACGTAGGCTCACTATTGGTCGACGCTGGTCATGTGTGTGTGATGCGTGTGACGTACAATAACAGAAGCTTACGCTATTAAACTAGTTAGCTGACTCGCGCAGAGGGAGAAATAAACAATAGTTGAAATAAAGTCGTTATTTTTGTTGTTTTTTTGCGCACAAAAGTGTTCTCGTCGTTTGATAAACTTAAGATTGAGCCCCTGTAGTCACTTGGACTATTTTAACGATGTCTTTTATGACTTTTCGGGGACGGCAAGAGCCAGTCCCTCAAGAAGCCTATGGACTGTATGCAGGAGCGATTTTAATATCTTAAATATCTTAATTCGTTTTCCGAAGATGAACGAAGGTCTTACGGGGTTGGAACAACATGAGGGTGAGTAAATACTGACAGAATTTTCATTTTTGGGTGAACTAACCCTTTAACCAACCACAAGTACATTCTACATTACGAGAACACTGTTTATCAAATAAAGGAGTTAAATTGTGGAATAGTTGTTGTAATGAGTTAAAACAAGCCACGTCTATTTTTCAGTTTAAAGAGAATAACATTGGAAAAATATACAATAGAATAAAAATGAATTAGACAGGCTTGCTTCTGGTGTGGACAATGGTCCACTAATGTGTTAATGCAAATTTTATGAACAGATGTTGTCATTAATGAGTTGATTCTAAAGTTAAGGGCAGGCATAATAAGCTTTAGCTTCCGCCTGCACCTGGTCATCTACAGTATAGTGTTTATGTTTCGAATGTTTTGATGATTTGATTGGTTGATTGAATGATCTGTAAATGACCAAACCGAATAAATGAAATGAAAATGAATTCCCCCGAAAACAAGACATAATATCTTACGTCATTTTACTCATCTAGTCAATCCATCTTGATCTAATAATTTTTAGATATTTGGCCTGGAAACAAGACAAAAATACTAAATAAGTGAAGCAGTGTAGAAGCATATATGGAATGATATGTTTCATGATGAACGATAGATGCAAAGATACGCCGGTAGTGAACGCAGCTTTACACAAACGGACTGAAAGACACATAGATAATCACCCTTTCTTTAACATGAATAACAATCTAACATACCACTGATCACACACACATACAAACATCAAATGGCTTGTACAACACAAACTCCTTTCCATCAAACACACACTCATCATCATCAGTCCCTCGTTCTTCATCGGACAGAAACGACCCTCCACACCGTTACTGAAGCCCAACGGCTCCTCACGCCTCTGTCCGTGGGGCTTACACACACACACACACACGAAAGCATGAATGGAAAGCAAAGCCGGCGGGACACAACACAAGCGGAAAGCGAGGGATTCTAGCCCACGTTTCCTAGCAACAAGCTAGCGAGGGTCTTTTCAGCACATCGCTCGGGTAAAGACAGATTACTCGTTTCTTCCCCCCTTCTTTAGCCGGAGGCGTTGGGAACGAAGGAGGAGGCAGAAATAGAAAACTGTCTCTTTAGTCACTTTGTGATTCCTGACTTTGCCCTCATGAGAACCTGGAAAACCTCCTCCAATCCCCACAGATCCTGCGTGGGGCGGCAATTACCCTCTTCCTGTGCACCAATGCAATCTTATCCACCACAAACACACCCTTCCTGTAGCAAACAGCCAATGTAAATGGCAATTTTTAGGGCTTTCCCTAATATAGATACAATGTATATTTAACTTATACAGCTGTGACTAGATATATCGGCCAACATATCGGTATCGGCCAATATCGGTTCATATTTAATATTATCGTTATCGGCCCGATAACAAAATGTCGAGCTGATAAATAATGTATTATTACTCCTTCAGTTGAGACACTTTAGATGTGCACTGTTCAATATGATTATTATGAATTGCTTAAAAATTCAAAAAAGGAAAATATAGTTCATTTATCGGCTATATTAATCATGAGAATATTATAATTGTGTGCTTGAGACATGGATTTTAAATGGCGAAACTTTTGCTTTTGTAATCAGAAAATTTGGATTCAGATTTAGATTTATCGACCGATATATCGGTTATCGGATTTTAAAATATAAAGAATTATCGGTTGTCGGCCAAAATGTTCGTATCGGTGCATGCCTAGTTATGACTATATTGGATTATTCCATTTCTGTGGTATTTTTACTTGAATATTACTGTTAGACCTATCTGAACCTCTCTGCTCCGCAATGTGTGTGTCACTGCGTGAGGACAAGGGGCGTGGCTTATCGGACATAGCAACAGTAACTAAAGGAGGCGGGTCTTTGCGAACGGACAATTCAGTCCAAAAGTGCTTTACACTTTTTTTTTTAGTTCCTACTTCAGTAAAAATAATTGGCTAACTTTAAAAAATGTCTTTATGATTTAATATCTATTAATACTGAATTTATGACGTCTAAATATAAATTTAAAAGCAAAATGTGTGTGAAAAAAAAGAGAGGACATGACTTATCAAAGTGCTCATCTGGCGCCCTCTACTGGTTATAGTAGTAATTTTATTTTTAAAATAAAAGTGTTTGTTTGCCACTCATCCTTAGACTTCAGAGTTTTACAAATGGGGACAACCTTTGCAGGATGAACAAATAATGTTTTAGGTCATCACATTTAAACAGATGTGAAGTGCTGGAAAAAATGTTGAAAGTCCTCGATAAATCATGCCATACGAACCCTAACATGAATAACGTAAAACAATCGAGTATTTATTTCGCATGATTTGAGTTAGCGTTACTACACTAAATCCATGGTGAATGTTGGAGATTTGTGGAATGAAAGGCCTTATATAAACTTGTACGCTCCTGGTTTCCAGCGCTGTGTAATGGGATATCTATGTTGTAACTCGCACATATCTACAGGAAAAATCCTCTAACTCTGAATCTAAACTCAAATTAAACATCATGTTCTCATCGTCAAAGCTTTCTACAGATGAAAGACTCAGACGCGGTTTACACAGGACAGGAACACTGAACACTCGCTGTGATCACAAACATCCATTAGAAAGACAGACAAAGCATGTATTTATGCCACATCATTGAGGCAAAGGATTTTTAGTGCAATAATGCAGCCCATCATGCATTATGCCTCAGGCTCTACTAGAACAGGTTTTCCTGCTTGAATGTTGATTATTCTCCTCATATTCTCCATTGTTGCGGCTCCTCTCTTCCCAGTCTGTCAGTAACGCTCTGTTTACTTCCTGTCTCTATGAAGCCCCTCCTCCTGAAAAGCACACTGTGCTCTGATTGGTTGGCTTGAGCACTGTGTTGTGATTGGTCGAGCGCTTCGAGTGTGCCTGGGAAATGCCCCGCCCCTTTCCATATGACCACATGTGCTTATAATAAACAGAACAGCACTGTGTGTTGATGTGGAGTGGATGCTAATATAGTTATTGTCTCGCTCACTCACTCGTTCTGTCTTTCCACTATCAAATTCCTCCATCTAAATAGCGAATCCGCCACACCGAGAGAAACTGGCTTTTAAAGGGACAGGGAGACGAGACTCTGATTGGTTTATTGCACAATACACCCAAAACACACCCATTACTCATTAACCCTCTGGGGTTGTTCGGCCCAAATGGACCCGAAGAATTTAAATAATTTATTTCTTAAAAATCACAGCTTCCTCGGAATGGTCCGAAATTTGGTGACTTTGTTGGTATTTGGTATTTCAACACCCAAAAAAATTGGGGACAGGATGTGAGTAGTCTAAGTGGTTGTAAAAAAAATAGTCACACTTGGGGTGTTCGGGTCCAAATGGACCTGCATGGAAAATGAATGGGAAATTGGCCAAAAATGTGAAAATACTGAGTTTTTTTTGTGCGTACAATCTACAAATCAGCCACGATCTTGAAAAAAAGCACACAACAGTGAAGGGGTGAATCTATAAAACATCAAGAGTGCAAAACAGACACACACACACACAAAAATTCAGATTATACATGTGTTTTGCATTTTTAAAATGCTCAGTTTGTCCACCAGATGGCTTTTATGAGGCCTAGGCTTGACTCTAAAATAAAATACAGCTTAAAAAAAAAATGTGAAAATTTTTTTTTATTATGTTCAATGGGGGGAAATTTTGTCATAATTATTGCATTAATACTAATTATAATTTTTTTTATTTTTGAAATTTTCTCAAAACACCAAAAAAGAAAAGAAAAAAATATTATAAAAAATGAGTAAAAAAAAAAAAAATCATGATTTTTTTTTTTTTTTTTTTAAATATGAATCCCGCCCTTTGAGTCCATTTGGACCTGAACACCCCGAGTGTGACTCTGAAACGAACAACCCCAGAGGGTTAAGAGAATAGAGGTAACCCTTTTAGACAACGACCATTTTTCCCGTCGTTAAACTAGACAAAGTGGATTGGGACGCTAAGGGCAGTCGTGACCGTGAGAGTCATCACTCACCAGATAGACGTGCTGCTGGTCCTGGAAAGCGTGTTGAAGTTGAGGGATCCAGGGACTGGAGTTCAAGGCCAGGATCGCTCTCTCCTCCTCAAAGAACGCCACCTACACAATACAAGCAGAACTTAGCTTTATTAGATCCTCTCAGATACTAGTTAACTCGGTTTGCCACTTTGTTGATGCTTTTATGCATTTATTACAGTCCTGGAGTAACAGAAGGTTAGATCTGCTGCTCAAGGACACGGTGATGATAGTAAACGCCGTTTGTTGGGGAATTCATTCACCTTGATGTGAAATTTCCATTTGAAATTATTGGATTTAAACTGTAAAAGATTTTAGTAAACAATGGCTAGAGACAAAAAATAAAAAATCTCATATATTTTCAGTAGGAAATTTACTAAATATCTTCATGGAACACGATCTTTACTTATTTAATATCCTAATGATTTTTGGCATGAATGAAAAATCGATAATTTTGACCCACACAGTGCATTGTCGGCTATTGCCACAGATACACCCGTGCGACTCGAGACTGGGTTTGTGATCCAGGGTCACATGATAACATCTCAACTGCAAATCAAAGGCCTGGTCTTCCCTTAACTCACCTTGTCCTGAGAACGCAGGCTGGTTTTGTCCATGATCTTCATGGCGTACACGTCTCCTGTCGCTCTCTCCTTCACCACCTGCACCTCAGAGAAGTGTCCTCTTCCCACAATCCCCTTCACCTCAAAATCCCTCTTACCAGGGAGCAGTTCCTGGACCTCAGCCACCACGTCACAATCTGAGACACACAAACCAACACCATCACAATACTACACAAACAAGTAATGATGAAATTGGAGTAAAGGTATTCGTCTTTGACATATAATGGTTGTTTTTCAATAGGTCATGTTGAATTATTGTGTTCCTGAGTAGTGCTCATCTCACGTGTGTGGGGGAGAAACGTACAGATGGCTTGTTTATAAGTGCACATGTAAGCCCACGACTTTGGACATTTCACCTTTGCAATTAAATAAAGCATCTTCTAGCACTTGAATCATCTATTAATTAATTAATTAATTATATTTAAATTAATCATTAGCTTATCAGTCAGAATTCCAGTATCTTTGTATTACTAGAAAAGTCTGTACTGTATTTTAGGGATAGTTCACCAAAAAAATATAAAAATTGTTTTTCACTCATCGGTTCAAACTCATACGCCTTTCTCATACGAAACAGACTAGGGCTGGGTAATAAATATTGATTTCTCGATATTAATCGATTCTCATTTTTACGAACCGATATCGATTCTTAAATCTCAAGAATCGATTAGTCATCCTGTTTCATTTGAATGAATGGATCATTGTATCGCGGCTGCGCGCATCCAAAAAAATTGCAATAATCTTTGTCCTTTGTTACTATTGATATGAAACAAAGTCTCAATTGTCAAATTCCGTCCATTTTCTTTAGAAATTCAAAAACATAAATAGCGTTTTGTCGCTGTGGCGTGAGATCGCTCTGGAGAAGCAGCAGCGCTGATCTCTCTTCCGGCTTAATAATACCAGTCACAGCGCCAAATAAACATGAATGAGCATCTGAAAGTGTGTTAAAGATAGAGGACAACTTATCCAAATCCGGATCATGTCACATTGATTCGCTCAATCAGCGTTTCAACCGTGGAAAGACGTCAGTTAAACAGCTTGAAATCAATGTATCGTCATATTTACCTCAGAAAACCCACATCAACTCGTTAGTCAGATAGAAAAAATAACTCTAGAGAGAAGCATTTTGCTAAATATATACACCATATTACATATGCATTATAATCTTAATGTTCTTCAATATTTAATGCATATTTGAATAAATCTGGCAAGTTTTTATGACAGCCACCATTTAAATGTTTATATTTCATATAATCTTCTTATTATAAAAATAAATAAAAGTGTAATTTAAGTGTTTGTATAGCTACAAAACAGTTCATTATTACCTTCATATTAGGCTAATGAAGCCCAACTAGACTCCCATAGTTTACAGCATTAGTTCAGAGATTTGATTTCCTTGAGAAAATTTGCATTTATTATAACTGATATCCAACATAATCGATATTGAATCGAAATCGAATCGAATTGTGAAATTTGTGTCAATACTCAGCCCTAAAACAGACACTTACATTTATTGACAAAGTTGGCCACATGTTTGATCTTCATGAGCTCGGGTGAGGCGCACTCCTGATAGAGCAGAAGCAGAGCGTCGATCAGTCCTTCTCTGGTCACTACATTCAGTCCTGTAGAGCCCGACACACTGCACTTCCCCTGGAAAACACACACATACACAACTGTTTAAAACTGTCAAATACATCATTGTTCAAGCATGTGATTGCCTGAGGTCAAAAAAAGAAGGAAAACATGTTGTCAGTTCAATATGACTGATAATTATATTAATTTTATTTGTGTTATTTAAATAAAATGTAGTGTTTATTAATAATAATAATAATTAGTAATAGTACAAGACATCAAGTTGAATTGTGAATTGATTTTATATACACGTTATATTTTATATAGTTATTTATAGTTAATTTATATACAAGCTATCATCTTAGAAATTAAAAATGTATATATTTTCATCCATTATTTTTGTGCATAAATTGCTCTTTTATCATGGATAGATGCACTTTTATCATGGATAGGTGCACTTTTATCATGGATAGGTGCTCTTTTATCATGGATAGATGCACTTTTATGGAAAGAGCTTGGAAGAGCCAGGACATTTTTTTAATATAACTCCGACTGTATTCGTCTGAAAGAAGGTGAACTTGAAGGTGAGTAAATCATGGGCTAATTTTAATTTTGTGACCACATTCATGAACCAATCACCACAGACTCTCACCTGAAGAAGCTGATTGAGTCGAGCGCAGCGGATAGTGATGGAGTCGCCAGTGGCCAGATCTCGAACACTGCCTTGACCTCCATACTTAAACTTCAGCATCACTGCAGGACAAACATTATCAAGACAATCAATACAACCATATGATGATGTCAGTGACAATTTTACTATGTGTTGCCTATATGATGCTTTTTTCCTCTTCTTTTTTCTGTGACATTGTAAAGCACATTGTGTTGTTTTAATTGTGCTGTACAAATAAAGTTGCTATTGACAGCAATTATGATGCACAGAGTGGGCAGGATTGAGACACATGTAAACTGTATTAGTGATAACAGCTCTTAAACACATACAAATGGAATTATCAATATTAATAAGCTTATAATTAAGCGTTTAGTTTCGTTTAAGCCTGGTTTGGGGCTTAATTTAAACTAAAAGCTTAATTCTAAACACAAAGCAGATCAACACTTGTAGTTGACAGTGACATTTGTATAAATTTTAAATGACCCGTCTTTCTTAAGTCTACGTTAACACATGTAAAACTATAACTTACATGTAGTTTTATGCGCTTTTATTACTACATAAGAAGCTAAGCGGAACATTTATATGTTTAAAAATTCATTTTTCACACGAGAGGAATATTTACACTTAATATTAATGAAATAATCTAAACTTAAAGTAATCTGTGACCGTGTTCGACAACTTAGTGTCTAATAATTTTCAGGATAATATCAAAACAGATCAACTGACGCTCTTATACATCAAACATGACAGCAAACTAACGTTACCCGTCATTAAACAAACACTATGAGAATGAAATGACATCGCTCCTGAAATCATTCATAACGAAATTTGACATTATTTGGCATCGCGCAACAATATTTGAGTTTGACACTTTCCCTCGTCATTTACCGTTGAGTTCATAACGTTCGTTTTTAACAGACAAATCGAGCCCAGTTCGACAAAAAATGAGAAATATGCTCACCAAATGTACATGTGACAATATTTGACCCAATAAAAAAGATTAATCTCTAAATTTTAGATGAACATCGCTGACAGACTCTCTCTGACTGAACCTTCAACGTTTCCTGGTGAATTTCAAATTGTGCGCGTTCGGCGCGACAATTCATTTGTCGACGCACCCAAAATACGTCACGACGTTCGCATAAGCCCCGCCCACAGTCATCATTCTCTGCGAAAAATAGTTTTGTTGTTGTTGTTATCGGGGAATAAAAGCACACATTATGAAGTATATACAACATAAATGTGAATTATAAAATAATTGCTAACGTAAGGCTTCAAAAGCTCAATGTTCAACTGGGAATAGCATATTTTTGCAACATAAAAAGTCAAAAGTAGATTGATGATTAATACCTTAGCTGTAGTTTATATAAACAACTCCCGTAAGCACATTGCATTATGGGATATGCACTGAAGAAAGAACATCAGGGAAGGCAAATAAATCAGTTTTACTTGTTTAGTTCTTTTAAAACCGCTTTACTGCTGGGAACATTAAGAAAAAAATAATTTTAAGAACATTTCAGGACTTTAATGCTTATAAAAGACTGATTCAGCTTCTTCAGTGATAGAAACCGAACTCTGGGTGAAGTTTTGGTGTTCACGACACAACACACTGGCCTTTGACACACACAACATCTGACGCGCCGCAGAGAACAGCAGCATTTCTCTTATCGAGTCTCATTGGCTTGAGGAGATCTGGTTTCCCTGGCGATGCCTGTGAGCGCCATGGCAACAGCCTCCCCGAGCTGGGATGGAGAGAGACATGGGAAATTATAGAGACATAAAAGAGAAAATAGCCGTCTAGAACAGGTAGAGACGAGATGACAGACATTATCAGCAGCAGAAATACACAAATTAATCCATAATCAAATATAATCATTTAAAGGAACAGTTCATCCATAAATCCCAATTCTCACGCTTATGGTATATTGGAGAACAAAAAAAAGATGGTTAGCAAAAGCTTAACCACAAAAACACTGGAAAACTTTATTATTGCAGATTAAATTCCCATGCATTTGGATCACACACATAAACTAATAAACTGAATGTGACAGTCATGCATAAATTAATTACATTAATGCATTTAAAAAGAAAATCATGCCTTATGTGCATCTGTAAGTATTTGAATAATCCGATTTATTAAAATGGCTCAGAAATCTGTTGGTTGTGAATTTAAAAACAACCTTTTTTCTGCTGTGAAACCAGCAATATTCAACTCATTAAAATGCATGAGATTTAAATCAAGTTGATGTAAATATATAAACGACCTGATTATTGTGCGTCCAGTTCATCAGCTGACCTGAATCGACAGGGTCCACATAAGCATTCGCTTATATGACTCTCAAAAAGAAAACTCGCATTAGATAGCCTGAGCAAGAGTTAATTACTATAAAAGAAACTGAAACATAAAATACAATGTCAATAATTCTATCAAACAGTAGATCTGAATCGTTATAATGCAGAGTTAGAGCGACACCTTGTGGTGAAACGACAGGTCCAGCGGTTTGTTCTTTTAAAATGTTTATTATCGTGTCGGGACAATGGATATGATTAATATTTCATCTTTTCCAGTGTACACCAGATCATTACACATACGCACGTGTCCGTGTCCACATGCAGACATGCGTGTTCACCGCATCATATAGAGCAGACCTTCAATGATATCAACACAATTATTATTTTTACACAAGCAAGAATCGGTCGCTCCCACAATCTGTGCAAAACTGAAGCAAAAACACGTTTCAATCATCAGCTTGTGATATTTTCAGATCTTCGTAATAAATACATCTGGTTACAGTCACATGATCACTGTTCTTGATGAGCAGCTCATGAATTCAACCGGCCCTCATGTCCTCCCGAACCCTGAAGGAGACGTTTGGCAGAATGTTCACGCTGCTCTCGACACACGCGTGACCCACAGAAGGAAGTGAGCGCTTGGCATTGACGTGAACGAAGACGGAGCGTGTGTTTCTGATGATTATTCAGCACTTCCTCGCCGGCTCTGCAATGGCACCAGATTCTGCGGAAGCTCGTTTTCGCCACAGCGTTACAAAACATGTTTATCTTATCGCACAATTCAGACTTTTTATTTGCAACCGTAATTCTGATTTTTGACAGATAATTCTTTAAAATTCTGTACTTTTATACTGTATAAACTAAAATTTTATACTGTATAAACTTTTCTCAGAATTGTGAGATATAAACAATGAGAGAAAAAAAGTCAGAATTGTGAATTTATATTAAAAAAAAGATTTATCTATTTATCAGGATTGTGAATTTATCTATAGAAAAAAAATAGAATTTTTCTGATGTTTATATCTCACAATTCTGATTTTTTTAAATAAACTCAAAATTCTGACTTTTTTTCATAGTGTGAGATATAAACAATTGAGATTTATTTTAAAACTTTGTCTTGCAACTGAGTTCATATTTTGCAATTGCGACTTTTTTTTATACATAATTCTGCCATTTACATAAACTATAAATATATAGCAATTTTAACTTTTTTTTCTCAGGATTGAGATATAAAGAATTGAAAAAATTATTACTGAGTTTATAGCTCACAATTCCGACCTTTTTTATTATAAAAACTTGTTTTTTTACAGATAATTTATATTCAATTACAATTTATAATTATTCTGACTTATATATACACTCACAATTCTGACTTTTTCTTGCAAACGCAATTCTCTTTTTTATATAAAGTTGCAATTCTGATATAAACAAAAAAATCTGAATTGAGGTTGCAAGAAAAAAGTCAGAATTATATTAAAAAAGGTCGGAATTAACTATAAAAAGTGTTTTTCTGTTGTTTATATCTCACAATTCTGCCTTTTTTCATAGGAGTGTGAGATATAAACAACTGAGATTTATTTAAAAACTTTTTCTTGCAACTGAGTTTATATTTTGCAATTCTGCAGAATTGAGATATAAAAAAATGTAAAAAAAAATATTACTGAGTATATCCCAATTCTGACCTTTTTCATTTCAAACTTGCAATTGAGAAAAAAATTCACTTGTTTTTTTTTGACAGATAATTTATATTACAGCTTTTTTTTATAGATAATTCAGTCATTTATTATGAACTCGCAATTCTGACTTTTCATAGACTGTCAAAGTTGTAATCACCATTATTATTATTATTATTTATAATTTTGTGGCGAAAACGAGCTTCCAATGAGCTTCCCTAAACGCTACTGTGTGTTTGATTGTACGATTCGTTAGTAAAAAAATACAATTTTACAAAAATGAAAGACAAAAGAGAAAGCAAAAGGCAAAACGAGTGTCTCTTGGCAGATCCGCACATGTTTGGTCCATAAAGTGGCCGTGGATAACACGTGATGTTCTCCGGCCACATCAAGCCTCATTGGTTTGATCCCACGATGAAGAAAACATTTCATTCTCCATTTTAAAATTCTCCTGCTAAAACATCGGAGTGTGTTTGCCTCCCGAAGTCCAAACGGTTAAATCTCTAGATATATCTCTCATTGCTAGTCTCTGACGGGGTGGTTGAAGTATGTTAAGTTCTCTGTCAGTAAGTGTGTGTGCGTGCGCGCGTGTGTGTGTGTGTGTCCAGTCCATTAGCAGCATTTCTTCTTGCGTTTGCTGCTCTTACTCAGTTTGACAACTTCGCTCTGCTGTTGCTGCTGCTGTTTGGCCACCGTCTCCTTCCGGGTCTTCAGGACGAGCTCAGTGACGCAGTTGAACATCTGACGTGAACACACACAGAACACTCGTCAGACTCAATCAATGAAAACAATGCATTTTCCGGTGTGTGTCTCATGAAGCGCTCAAAAATGTAAACGTCTGTTAATTTCAGACCCTGATTTCATGAAACATAGGACCAGACCAGACAATATCATTGGAATCACATTCAAGAGTGACAGCCAATCAGCCAATCAGAATCAGATAAAACAATGACAGCCAATCAGAATCCATCCTGCGTTCAGCGCTCCAAATGTAGTTTTTTCTTAAGGCGACAGTGCTGCATTAAACTTTTTAGGTACAGAAAGATGTTTGTAACTTGATGATGTTCACATGGATGGGCTGTAGATGTGTTTGAAAACTCACATCCTCCACGTTGACGTTCTCCTTGGCGCTGGTCTCGAACAGTCGGATGCCCATCTGCTCAGCAAACTTCTGCGCGTCATTGGTCTCCACCACTTTAGAGGCGGGGTCGTCATTCTTATTACCCACTGAATTCAGACCACATGACCGTTACAACCAAATATAACCCATAATAGGGATGGGCAACGATTAATCGCGATTAATCGCATCCAAAATAAAAGTTTGTGTTTACATAATATATGTGTGTGTAGTGTGTATAATTAATTTATATTTATATATATATAAATACCCACATGCATGTATATATTTAAGAAATACGTGCATGTATATATTTTATTTATATTTATTCACAATTAATATTATATATAAATATTTGATATTTTAATAACAAATTTTTCTTAAATATATACATGCATGTGTGGGTATTTATATATATATAAATATAAATTAATTATACACACTACACACACATATATTATGTAAACACAAACTTTTATTTTGGATGCGATTAATCGTTGCCCATCCCTAACCGATAACAAAAAACAGTCACATCTTAAAGATGCAGTAAACACAAATTAATTAAATTAAATGTAAAGTGAGCTAGCGGAGACAAAAAGCTGAAATTAAACCATCTTAAACATTTAAAATATTGTCTTAGGAGAAAAATATGTGCAACTTTTTTTTGCATGTAACAGGATGACGAGGACGTTTCATCGTGAAAAGCATCAAAAAAGCAACCATCTATTTACCTAATATTCGACAAACGTCGTCACAGTTTTGATTGATTTCGTGCAGCCAACGTTTGACGTTCACGAACGACTCCGCGCTGCTGACGTCATAAACCACTATAACGCCGTGTGTGCCTCTGTAGTACCTGGAAGAGATCACATGACACAAGCAAACATCAAAACAACAATAAAAGCCACAGATCAACAGTAATGGTCATCCCTAATGACACCAAAGAACTGCAAACATGCAAAAGTGTTGTTAAATTATTGAAATATTAACTTCAAATTAGAGCCAGAACGATATTAGGCATTTTCCAAACTATCGGTATCGGCGGTTATAATGGCCGATAAATTAATATTTCAAAAATAAAATAAAAACGGACGAAACACGCTTGAACCACGTCATGAGTGTTGGAGTTGTATAGTTTGTCCACCAGAGGGCGCTCTACACCGTTCCTGTCGGCAACACTCGTTGAGTTGGGCACGATATATACATTGCTTGAATAACAATTAAAAGAACATCCCCATCAGTTCAATCCATTGCTAAATTATGGTTCATCATAGACTAGCTAAACATAAAGCTAGCTAACGCCACTGTCGTCAGTCTGTTCTGTTGCGACAATAAAAGAAACAAGTTTCTTTTTAAAATGCATTATTATATTATTTTAGTTAAAACTCATAAATAACTACAAATAACTAATGTTAAGGAAATCTGTTAATGTTTTGTTGCGCGTTTCTGAAATAATTAAAATATATATATATATCGGATTTTAAAACCAAAAAATATTTGTATCGGCCTTCAAAATCCTTTATCGGTCAGGCTCTACTTCAAATCTCTAGAGGAGTAAGTCAAGTAAATGTTTTAGCTCAAAAATGATAAACAACAACAGCCTCAGTGAAGAGGCATTCACAAACATCTGCGCTGATTAGGTTTGAGATAATCTGATCATGCCCTCGTCTCGGCTGCATATAAACCCTGTTTCAATCCCTGAAACTGACGGAGACAAGTTGATTCTTTCACTTCCTGTGAATGACATCACTGACAGGAAGTGGTAACTCTCCACGAGGCACACATCATCAGTGGTCGAAACATTCCTTTGGAGATTTGTCACACAGAGCAAACGGTGCGAGGCGTCAGCTGGTGTAATGTTCCCCGCGAGATCCACTTATTCTAATGAGCGAGCGCATCGCTATCATCACACACACACACACACACACACACACAGCAGCGGCTTTGTGGAGCTCAGAGTCACTCGCCGTCTCCGACACAACACAGCGCACACACACAGCTGGAGGAACACACAGTTGCGTGAGAATTTTGCGTGACATTTTTACTCAATATGGATTAATCTATTAGCAGAAATAAACACGACAACAGGCACACACACACTAAAAACTGACTGTAATGAAACTGACAATTTGAAGGATTACAAAAAATGTAATAATTACTGGATGAATCGCAGTTGCGCAACAAATATTCTTTAGCAAAGTTTTATTCACACAGTAACTAAAAAAAAATAAAATAAAAGATTTGGGGATTTATCCATCATTGTTGAGATATTTCTACTAGGGCTGGGTATTGACACAAATTTCACAATTCGATTCGATTTCGATTCCAATTCGATTCAATATCGATTATTTTGGATATCAGTTACAATAAATGGCAAATTTTCTCAAGGAAATCAAATCTCTGAACTAATGCTGTAAACTATGGGAGTCTAGTTGGGCTTCATTAGCCTAATATGAAGGTAATAATGAACTGTTTTGTAGCTTTACAAACACTTAAATTACACTTTTATTTATTTTTATAATAAGAAGATTATATAAAATATAAACATTTAAATGGTGGCTGTCATAAAAAAACTTGCCAGATTTATTCAAATATGCATTAAATATTGAAGAACATTAAGATTATAATGCATATGTAATATGGTGTATATATTTAGCAAAATGCTCCTCTCTAGAGTTATTTTTTCTAGCTGACTAACGAGTTGATGTGGGTTTTCTGAGGTAAATATGACGATACATTGATTACAAGCTGTTTAACTGACGTCTTTCCACGGTTGAAACGCTGATTGAGCGAATCAATGTGACATGATCCGGATTTGGATAAGTTGTCCTCTATCTTTAACACACTTTCAGATGCTCATTCATGTTTATTTGGCGCTGTGACTGGTATTATTAAGCCGGAAGAGAGATCAGCGCTGCTGCTTCTCCAGAGCGATCTCACGCCACAGCGACAAAACGCTATTTATGTTTTTGAATTTCTAAAGAAAATGGACGTAATTTGACAATTGAGGCTTTGTTTCATATCAATAGTAACAAAGGACAAAGATTATTGCGATTTTTTGGATGCGCGCAGCCGCGATACAATGATCCATTCATTCAAATGAAACAGGATGACTAATCGATTCTTGAGATTTAAGAATCGATATCGGTTCGTAAAAATGAGAATCGATTAATATCGAGAAATCTATATTTATTACCCAGCCCTAATTTCTACATCTCCTTTTTTCTTCCTCAAGAGATGAGGTTTGAAAAATTGAGGTTTTAATTAAAAGGCACTTGAAAGAACGGCTAGACGTAATGCTAGTTTCCTTCACTCGTCCTCGCTTTCTCGTGTGTGTGAAGCATGAAGTGAACTGGCTGAAACTGCACGAGTTGAGCATCAGAAGGAAGGCTGCGGTTTCTCTACACATAGAAAGAGGAAACAAGACGCTTGCGCTAGCCTCCGTTAGCCTGGCGCTAGTTAGAGCACATTCAGACTTGACTTTACCACCCAACCTTAAGACTCGTTTCCTCGACGGAGACACAGCCAGATTACGAGGAAACCAACAGCCGGCATATGATCCTCATTCATCAGCAGAACCAGAAGCAAATGACACACACACACATATTTTAACTGTTCACTTTTTTTTTTTTTTACTTTAGCTGATAATTTACTCGCCCCCGTGTCATCCAAGATGTCCATGTCTTTCTTTCCTCAGTCGAAAAGAAATTAAGGTTTTTGATGAAAACATTTCAGGATTTTCTCCATATAATGGACTTCAATGGGGACCAAACGGTTCAAGGTCCAAATGAGAGTTTCAGTGCAGCTTCAAAGGGCTTTAAACGACACCAGACGATGAATAAGGGTCTTATCGAGCGAAACGAGCGCTCATTTAAAAAATAAATAACAAAGTTTAAGTTTTATAAGCTCAAATGCTCGCCTTGCTCTGTTCTGTGATGCGCGTTCGTGACTCTCCTGTTCGAACTCGTTCATCATGAACAAATCTTTTTTCGAGTCATGACTCGAAGGGTCCTAAATAAGACCCTTATTCATCATCTGGAATCGTTTAAAGCCCTTTGAACAGTTTGCACTGAAACTCTAATTTGAACCATTTGGACCCCATTGAAGTCCATTATATGGAGAAAATCCTGAAATGTTTTCATCAAAAACCTTTATTTCTTTTCGACTGAGGAAAGAAAGACATGGACATCTTGGATGACACGGGGGCGAGTAAATTATCAGCAAAAGTTTTTTAAAAGTGAACTACTCCTTTAAATCGACTTAAAAGAAATGATTTACAGGGACACTAATGTTATAGGTCAGGGGTCGCAAGTAAGGTTGACATCGGGGCAAAAAATATTATTTTTATCAGTAGAACACTGTGACTATTACTGTTAGTTCTCCTTTAAAAATGTTTCATTCATGAAGTTTTCAACATTATTAATAATAATCATTAATGTTTCTTGAGCATCAGATCAAATCAGAGTGATTTCTGAAGGATCATGTGACACTGAAGAATAAATGACACTTTACTGTATATTCACATAAAAAAACGCTGATTTACATTAGAATAATATTTAACAATATAGCCGTTTTTATTGTGTTTTTAATCAAAGAGACTCCTTCTAAAAACATTAAAAATCTCACCGATACAAATCGTTTCACATTCAACACTCGACCGAATGTGAACATGTTCTTTTCTATTCTACATCTATATATACAAATAAATAAATAGAATAAACTGGGAAGGGTCATAGCATTTACCCATAGCAAAGTGTTAGTTTAACTGTTTCTATTGTTCCCATCTTTGGATAAAAGCGTCTTCTAAACCAGTGGTTCTCAAAGTGGGGTCCGCGGACCCCTGGGGGTCCGCGAGCTAAAGCCAGGGGGTCCGCGAAATAATTTACAACCTAACGTTTTTTTCCATGCTATGAGTCATGTTTTCTTTATCATCTGAAAACATGCTGTTTATTCCTAAGTAACTTATATAAAGCATTTAACATAAAACAATACAAAGTAGACACTTAAAGTTTTCTATAGATAGATAATCTATGTCTTTGCGTCAAGTAGACTATTCGCTGCTGTTGATTTTGCGGGACGTGCGCCAGAAAGGAGACAGAGAGACGGCATGAACCCGCATCCGGTTCTTTTCTGTATTTTTAAAAGGCATGACATTTTGTAGTCATTTATAATGTAGCCTATAGTACACAAATAAAAAAATGGACACTTTACCGTTTCGGATGATGCACTCTTGTCTTATCTATGACCATAAATAAGAGTATTCCTGTTTCCACTGCTGAGGAAAAATTCCCATGTAATTGCGCGCCGGCGTCTCGCGTGCGCGCACAATAGTCAGTTCTAGCACTGCTACTGTAGATTTGACATTAGAAGTCTGATCATTATCAAAATAAAAGTGCATAGTGACAGGGCCGTACCCACAACTGAGGTTGTAAGGATGCACATCGCGATGATACTGACCTTCTCGTCTGAGGTGCTTCAGCAGACTAACAACGATAGCTCGTCAATGTCAAAATGTTTGAGTCGGAGTGAACTCAAAGTTCCCCGCACGACGTTTCAGTCAACGGTCATAAAGTGCGAGATAAGATGTAGGCCTTAATTAACATAAACTAAACAGCTGTTTTAGATAAAAGTTTTAAAAAATGACTGAAACAATCAGTTTGCAAAGTATTAATCAAGCTCAACTTTAAAAAAGGAAAAAGCAGGTCAATAGAAACATACTGTGCCCATGAGATTAACATTATGGATTCATATATTTAACATATACTGTATGTTTTTTTTAGCTAATTACAGTAGCTCAAATTAACAACGCACGCACCTATTAAACATAATGCCATTATCATTGTATTTATAGGCTTATGGGCTTTATTTGTGTGCAGAATAGGCCTAATTATTGAAACATTTCTCTTTTAAGGCCATTCCTGATTGGAATATGTGATTGTGTTTCGTGACATCTTGACAAAAAAAAAAATGTATGCCACTGACTGACATGCTTCTACTAAATCTATAGTTATCCAATTGTGGGGCCTTAAAACACCTTAAAATGCACATGTGTAGATCAAGAACATCAAAAATTCCTAAGTGAGGGATCCTAAGTGATTCCTAGCAAGATCACTTTCGTTACCTCAGTAGGCTATTTAGAAATTCCTGCATAGTACCCTGGGTGGAGACCATTAATTTTGTGCAAAAATATTTCATTTGCCACTCACACATTAACTTTGTGCTCAATAACTGTTATAAATATGAGGGGGGTCCTTGGAATTTTTTTTCCCCTGAAAGGGGTCCCTGGCACCAAAATGTTTGAGAACCCCTGTTCTAAACGAATTAATGTAAGTGGGGACTAATGCAACGCAGTTCCCAAAATGCATCAGTTTAATGCGACTCACGTGGAGGTGATGGTCCTGAATCTCTCCTGTCCGGCCGTATCCCAGATCTGCAACTTGACTTTCTCCCCGTTGATCTCCACCGTGCGAATCTTGAAGTCCACGCCGATCGTGGTGATGTAGCTGCCTGCAACCACACACACAAATCAGCATAAAATCACTAAAGGATCCTGGGAATAAGCACAATGCTGCTCATAGTGTTTTATTTAGCATAAGTAATCAATGTAACCCTCCATAAATCTGCATATCTCAATGGATATACTTATTTATCAAAGATTTTTAACCTTTCTTACAGTAAGCAGCATTAAATTATGTAGAACAGCATGACCTACAGCAGTGTCCATATGTGTGTGTGTGTGTGTTAGTTATCAGTTTCCGTGACAGTAATGTGGCTCTATATCTTCTTTCACGGTTAATGTTTGTTTAAAGCACATGTGACGTGTTGATCCTACCCGAAAATGTGTTATCAGCGAATCTCAGGAGTAAACTGCTTTTGCCAACACCTGTGGACAGACAGACAGAGTTACAGAGTCAACATTACAGCTTTACACCGAAAACATCCAATGACATTCATAAGCTGGCTGAACTCTTTTTGTGCTTATATAAAATTACATACGAAGAGTTCAGATGCAAAAGCCTCTAAATGCCATTTGAAATTTTCTTCTTTAATGATGATTTTTTTTATCAAACTTGTATATTTAAATTCAGTAATTTCACTTAAATAACAATTAATAGGTAATTATCATTGCCATTTAAGTGAAATTACTGAACTTAAATATACAAGTTTGATCAAAATTATCATTAAAGAAGAAAATTTCAAATGGCATTTAGAGGCTTTTGCATCTGAACTCTTCATACATTATCCATTACATTATATGTGTGTGTGAGAGAGTGAGTGTTTGTGTAAGAGAGTGTGTATGTTTGTGAGAGAGAGAGTGAGTGTGTTAAAGTGTGTGTGTGAGGAAGAAAGTGTGTGAGAGAGAAAGTGTGTGTGTGTGTGGTGTGAGTGTGTCATTACATGCCAACATCTCAACATTAAGTGAAACAATTTCTCCTCATAAATTAAGTGCTTATTATTTACCCCCACAGTTGATGTGTTAATTGTGTCCATTCCGTCACATACACTTCAAATCATATGCTAATCAGTGTAACATATTCATATTTCACCTTATTAGATAATAAAAATGAATTTCAGAACACACCCAGACTGAATGACTCTAAACTCAGTAGGCAGGCCCGTTACATCACTTAAAGCAGAAACAACAACAATGTTATTTATAAGCTGTCAAATCACTCAAAGTCTGCATTAGGTGTGTATCCAGCGCAAAAAGCCCGGGCTAAGTCGATATAGTGAATGTAAATGTCGTTTTAAGCGAGCTGAGGCCTGTTTCCGTTTCTCATCCCCGGTGTTTCCTTACCGCTGTCCCCGATGATGAGCAGCTTGAAGAGGTAATCATAGTCCCGCGCCATGGCCCCCCGCACAACGCGCCGTTCAGGACCCAAAACCCTCCTGCTCCTCCTCTCCCGGCGGAGAGGCTGTCGTGTATAAGCTTTATCGTCTCCCCGGGTTATTTTGAGCGGTGTGTGTCTGTGTATGTGTGTTTGTGTATGTGTGTGGTTGAGTGTTTAGGACACTCTCACACACCCATCTACACTCACGGCGGATCTGATGCCGCTGCTCGAGAGATACCCCTCGCTGCAGACTGTAGCGCGGTGACGTCGCGTATTCACGTCACGTATGTACGTCACGTATGTACGTCACGTTTGTGTTACCAAGCATGTGCGCACGCGCAAATTACAGGCATTTGCGCACGCGCAGTCGCGCACGCAGTTCATTACAATCACTTCAGGCGATGGATTCGATGCCAGTAAGTCGATATGCATTATTTATGCTTTGACAATTGTTCTTTTGAGTTAATGGCTTTGAATTGTCTTAAAGTGATATGTAGAAGTCTTAGTTCGCCATTAAACAAATTAAGGCTTGAAATATGTCTTCAAATAAAGCAGAAAGGCGTAAATTAATGTAGTAATGTAGTTGATTGCTACATCCATTGCAAAAGAAATGTTCCTTAATATCAGATCGTACTGTAAAAGTTATATTCATGAATGTAGTGAATACTATACGTTATTTTAGTCAACTATAACCTTAGTTGTTTTTATCATTTAGACAGCATAACTTTTTAAAATTATTTATGTTGTTCATAAATAAAGAAAAGTCTCTTTACATACAAAGCCAATAACTTTGTTGAATAAATAAAGATTCTTTACAGACAAAGCCGATAACTTTGTTTAAACAAAGTTATTGGCTTTGTCTGTAAAGAGACTTTTCTTTATTTATGAACAAAATAAACTAATTAAAAAAAAGTTATGCTGTCTAAATGATAAAAACAACTAAGGTTATAGTTCACTAAAATAACATATACCTGTAGTATGCACTACATTCATGAATGTAACTTTTACAGTATGATCTGATATTAATGTTGATATAACAACATTTCTTTTGCAATGGATGTAACAATCAACTTCATTACTTCATTAATTTACGTCTTTCTGCTCTATTTGAAGACATATTTCAAACTTATATAGATATACATACCTTTCTTTGAAGTAAAAGAATTGAAAGTGGGGGTAAATCACATTATGAAATAAATGTTTTTCTCAAACACTTTGGCCACAATTATTGGCACCTGTTTATTAAATGCTTTTTGCAATCTCCTTTTGCCAATATACCAGAGTCTTCTACTGTAATGCCTGATGAGTTTTGAGAACACCTGACCTGAGATCAGAGAATTTTTTACTTTTTGCTTTCTGACCCCAAGACTCAACTAATCTCTGCAATTCTCCATCTGTGATCCTTGAAGAGTCTTTGGCCACTCAAACTTTCACCCTCACCATCCATTAAGAAAATATACACACACATCCTCTTCCTGGCAGATTCCTAACATCTTTAGTTGATTATAACTTCTTATAATAATAACTTCTTAATTATTGCCTTGATGGTCAAAATGGGGATTTTCAGCTCTTTAGCTATTTTCTTACATCCACTTTCTATTTTGTGAAGCTCAACAATCTTTTGCTGCAAATCAGAACTATATTCTTTGGTTTTACTCATTGTTGTGGATGATGAAGGGGATTTGGCCTTTGTGCTTCTTCATATTTAAACTCCTCAAGAAGTCATGGCTGGACACTTTCATGTTCCTAGTCACCCTGGTGTGCTAAATAAAGGTGAATATTAATGGGAATATACTTCAGAGATATTTTACCTGTAAAATATTCTGGGGGTGCCAATAATTGTGGCCAAAAGGTTTTGGAGAAAAACATTTCATTTTTTACAGCCAGTTTTGAACATATTATATCAATTGTGACCATGACTGCACACACACACACACACACACACACACACACACACATATATAATCATTGTACGACTCTGTATGTTAATGTTCTTCGAAATGGTTCAATATTGTTTGTTCTGTATTTTATCAAAATTAGGTGTTTTAATGCATTTTCCAGACAATACAAGCAAGAGTTCCGAAGGGTGCGCTACTCGTTGGTTCTGTGCTTGCACTGTGATATACGAGGACTGCCCAGCTCGGTCTGTGTGATGGCAGAAGAGGAGTCCTGCGTGCATTTTATTCCGAGAAGGAGATTGAGGGCTATAATTGCTTAGTTGATTGTTTTGTTTTTTTCATTGATGGAGGGGAAATTCAAGCTGAATAGTGTGTGTGTGTGTGTGTGTGTGTGTGTGTGTGTGTGTGTCTGTCTGTCTCTGTGTGTCTGTCTGTACAGATGTATGAGATTATCTGTATTTGTACATTGTTCTTTTACACAATTATATTTGTTTTGAAATAAAAGTTATCACTGGTATGAGTTTATTTTTTTGAATTGGCATGCATAAAATTGGATACAGAGATTGACAATGTACTGTATGTAGTAGTTGGTTTAATGTTTTATGATAGCCTAATGCACAAAAATAAACCATTATAACTATCAAAAGTAAATAATGATTAAAATAAGAAATAAGGTGCCAGTGTTTACAATAATTTTGTCATTTTCAAAGTGAAGTGCAACAGAATGTGAAAATAAACTTTAAATAAAATACTACACAGATATTACTCAATATTCACTCTGAAATGTCAAATAAGTTTACCTTAAATCAGGCATAGTTAAAACTATGGATGCGTGCTGTACTTCTTTTTTCTGCTTTCATTATTACTTTAGAGTTTTTAATACATTAACATATATATATTTGATATGTCAAGTTCATAGACAGGGACGTCAAAACACGTGACGTAACCACGTAACGCGCATGCGTTGTCAACGCGATTTGGCGCATGCGCGGTAACACATACCTGACGTACGTACGTGACGTATGGTAGATACGTGACGTCACCGCGCTACAGTCTGCAGCGAGGAGTACTTGCTGCTCGAAGCCGCTCAAACAAACCCCGCCCACTAGAACTCGAGATGACTCACTTGCGCATGCGCACAAATCACAACGGTAGTGCAGAAGATCCTCCAGCAGGGGGAGTGAAAGAGGCGTGTGCGTGTGTACACAAACACAGTCAAATCAAAAATTATTAAGACACTACTAGAGATATTTTTTTTTACTAGTATGTGCAGGACATTAGTCTATAATTCATTACAGAGGCCTATTGCATTCACTTGAAGAAAAAAAAATCTACTCTGTTTTTCTGAATTAATGAGTTAATTTTTCATGTATTTTTTTTTTGGCTCTGTTTTTCTGAATTAACGAGTTAATTCAGAAAAACAGAGCAAAAACTTTTTTTCTCACGAAAAATTAACTCATTAATTCAGAAAAACAGAGCACAATTTTTTTTCTCATGAAAAATTAACTCATTAATTCAGAAAAACAGAGCAAAAAAAATTTCTCATGAAAAATTAACTCATTAATTCAGAAAAAGAGAGCAAAAAAATTCTCACGAAAAATTAACTCATTAATTCAGAAAAACAGAGCAAAATTTTTTTTCTCATGAAAAATTAACTCATTAATTCAGAAAAACAGAGCAAAATTTTTTTTCTCATGAAAAATTAACTCATTAATTCAGAAAAACAGAGCAAAAAATTTTCTCATGAAAAATTAACTCATTAATTCAGAAAAACAGAGCAAAAAAATTCTCATGAAAAATTAACTCATTAATTCAGAAAAACAGAGCAAAAAAAGTTCTCACGAAAAATTAACTCATTAATTCAGAAAAACAGAGCACAATTTTTTTTTCTCATGAAAAATTAACTCATTAATTCAGAAAAACAGAGCAAAAAAAATTCTCACGAAAAATTAACTCATTAATTCAGAAAAACAGAGCAAAATTTTTTTTCTCATGAAAAATTAACTCATTAATTCAGAAAAACAGAGAAAAACTTTTTCTCATGAAAAATTAACTCATTAATTCAGAAATACAGAGCAAAAAAAAATTCTCATGAAAAATTAACTAATTAATTTAGAAAAACAGAGAAAAACTTTTTTCTCATGAAAAATTAACTCATTAATTCAGAAAAACAGAGCAAAAAATTTTTCTCATGAAAAATTAACTAATTGATTCAGAAAAACAGAGCAAAAAAAAATTTCTCATGAAAAATTAACTCGTTAATTCAGAAAAACAGAGCAAAAAAAATTTTTTCTCATGAAAAATTAACTCATTAATTCAGAAAAACAGAGAAAAAAAATTCTCATGAAAAATTAACTCATTAATTCAGAAAAACAGAGCAATTTTTTTTCTCATGAAAAATTAACTCATTAATTCAGAAAAACAGAGAAGTTTTTTTTTCTTCGAGTGAATGCAATACGCCTCCGTAGTTCATTGATGTGAGTGAGGACAGCAAAATAAATTAAACTGTGAAATATTATAAACAAAAAATCTTCATACACTGAAATTTATAAAAAATTGAGATGAAGTTTTGCTGAAGTGTGTTTTCTGTAATCGCTAATGGTCTTTTTACACACACACTGAACAACATGAAGCATTGCCTGGTCACTGGTTGAGCTAAACTGGTATCATCTAATTGTGATATTCAACATAATTCATGTGTGAGAGTCATGTTTTAAACTATAGCAAATAAACTGTGATAATGTGAGAAATGCTAACGAAATTTTTTGTTTGACTGTATATAATATAATATAATGTATATTTAGTGTTCAAATGTTTCTAAATAATATTTTAGGGCCTCTATTTATCTAATATTGTATACAGATTGTAGTATATAGATTTTTTTATGCTACTTTATTAAAAATAGACAGTATTTTCAGTCCCAGATTTCCATTTATGCTACATTATACAATGTACTATTTATATACACAGTATACAAATATTAATGCCAGTTTGTGTGGTCTTGTGCGTCTGTGGTAGAGGAGATATTCTCTGAGGAAATATATATTTAAAAATGCTTGCTCAATGGAAAGAGAGATATGAAAGACTGTGATGTCGAATCATGAAATGCAGATCGCGCTGATGAAAGAACCCTATTATTCACCATAAACATTGATTGATGAGCTGACATACGTGTTATACAACACAACCACACAAGATTTGCATTGTGTGCCTGAGAAGGCGAACGATATTCAAATGCATAAAGGTTTGAAAGAACAAATAACCACAGCATGATCTTATATAAACAATAATCTCCATATTCTCAGACCCAGAATAATGCATCCAAAGGCTGATCAGGCTGGCCATTTAGAAAAATGTAGAAATGTCCATGACTTGTTGGAAGTGACTCTTCTAGGCATTTTGATCATTACTGGTTGTTCATGACTGTGGAAAACCAATGAAAGCTTTCTGTGACAATCGCAAATTATAAAGTCAGAACTGTGTGATATAAAGTCAGAATTATGAGTTATATAGTCACAATTGTGAGTTATAAACTCAGTTCCTCAGTCTGGGCTTCTTCGTTTAGGGGTTACACTTAGCTCCCTCCCGGTCAAAAAGGTCTCACTGGATCTGTCATCGACAGTATAGAGACCTGATTAAAACTGTGAAGATGTGCAAAATATTTAGTTTGTTACAATAAATGATTGAGCTTTTTCTACTTATTGTATTACTGTACTGTTTTTATTTGTTTATTTATTTTAATCAAATGATTCAGATCATGTATTCATTATTTTTTTATTTTTAATCTTTATATTTTAATACATTTATTTACTTAGTTTAATCCTATTTTTATTTTTTCATTTACATTTTTTTTTACTTCAACTGTATTTATATCAAATTTCATTTTTTTCTAATTTATTTACAAAAATCAAGTTCTTTATTTTCGTTATTTATTTATATATTTTAATTAAAATATTTTTTTATCTATGTGGCTGTTTTTAGAATTAAATATTATTTATTTAATATATTTATCTTAATAAAATGTATTAATCATATTTATTTATTTTTATTTAAATATTAAATATTTTTACACTGCATTTCTATTTATTTAAATCAAATTGTATTTATTAATTTAGTTTTATCAAACATTTATTTAAATCGTTTTTATTTTAACCTATTTTATTTATGTAGTTATTTAAATATATATATATTTTTTTTATTTTATTTTATTTTTGCTTTTTTTTATTAAAGGTTAGATTTTTTTGTGAATATTTTAATGAATTGTCACAGTCAGTTTTGCTCATATTTACCAATATTTGTGGAGGTTTGTGCTTCTAATTCTGCATGTTAATTTAATCTACTTTGACTTGCCAAGACTTGTATTTTTAAACAAAATATTTATTTATTTTCTTTGCAATCAACAGTTTTTTCATTGATCAGACATATCACATTAATTAAAACAATTAATTTGACAAAAACAACACAATCTCTCTAATTCTTTTGGAATAGTTATATGATTATGCTACATTAATGAAAATTAAAAAGATAAATCCATTCATACAGTTTAAATGCTTCAGTTTCTTATAATTGGCACAATATAAAATACAAAAGAAACTTGTAGGCATTAACATTCTCAGACTTGCACAACATTTGTAATGTTTCACTTCTATAATATAAAAAATCAGCGTCAGCCTCCTCCCTCCTGTGAAAGAAAGACAAATAAATAAATGTGAGAAATCAATACTTAAAAAATCGTATGATAGTCAAAATTATGAGATAAAAAGTCAAAATTATGGCATAAATCTTAGTGAAATGTTATAATTATGACATGCCAAGTCATATTTATGACAGTAAAAATTTATAAAAAGTAAAAATTATGAGTCGGACATAAGAGATGTTTGACATACCATTATTAACACAAGTCATTATTATTATAAAGTCGATATTATGAGATAAAAAGTCAAAATTATGGCACTTTTTAAATCCATGTTGATTTAGAAAGTGATAAAACGACCTCTCTCAACACCGGGACTGATATTATAGAGTTTGAGCGAGTAAATAACTTTAATGTTTGTGAGAATGACTCTTTTTACTCTGTTCCACATTCAGTGAGTAAATCTGCTGAAGAGACAGACATGTTACGACACATCTTGTTCAAAACTAAGTTTAGCATCGAGCCACAGAAAGTGGAACTCATGCTAGTCAGGAGCAGAAGCACAACACACGGTTTCAGGCGGGAATGACATCAACTTAAATGTTTCTTAAGACACACTTGAGCCACAATAAAAACGTGTGTTATATAAGAACCATAGGGATAAGAACATATTAGAACAATGCATATTATATAACACACAGTACAGAATGGCATAAGTTCACTATCTCAGGACTTCCTCTACACACACGCGTATAAACTGAACTTCCTGTTGATGTAAGAGCAAGACTTCCCGAATACTGAGCCGGATGCAAGCCCAGCGCTCTGGGATAATATTATTAATATCCCACACAGCTGCGTATGACTATATCTGGGATAAATTACATTATATTTGAATAGTAAGAGAAGCTGCAGGACAAACACACATATTGGCGACGTCTACATGAATCCAGATGTTTTACACTGAGAAAATATATGTAACGCTTTTCTTTTTAGATCATAATTACATGATAAAAAGTAAAAAATTATGCCATGAAAAATCATATGATAGTCGAAATTATGAGATAAAAAGGCAAAATTATGAAGTACCAAATCGTAATTTTGATAAAGATTAAATTATGAGATAAAAAGTCGAAATTATGACATACCAAGTCGTAATTATGATAAAGTCGAAATTATGAGATAAAAAGGCGCAATTATGACATACCAGGTCATAATTATAATAAAGTCGAAATTATGAGATAAAAAGTTTTAATTATGACACAGTAAGTCGTAATTATGATAAAGTCGAAATTATGAAATAAAAGGGCAAAATTATGACGTACCAAGTCGTAATTATGATAAAGATTAAATTATGAGATAAAAAGTCGAAATTATGACATACCAAGTCGTAATTATGATAAAGTCGAAATTATGAGATAAAAAGGTGCAATTATGACATACCAGGTCATAATTATAATAAAGTCGAAATTATGAGATAAAAAGTTAATTATGACACACTAAGTCGTAATTATGATAAAGTCGAAATTATGAGATAAAAGGGCAAAATTATGACGTACCAAGTCGTAATTATGATAAAGCCGAAATTATGAGATAAAAAGTTTTAATTATGACACACTAAGTCGTAATTATGATAAAGTTGAAATTATGAGATAAAAAACTGAAATTAAGACATACCAAGTCGAAAATTATAATAAAATCGAAATTATGAGATAAAAAGTTTTAATTATGACACACTAAGTCGTAATTATGATAAAGTTGAAATTATGAGATAAAAGGGCAAAATTATGACGTACCAAGTCGTAATTATGATAAAGATTAAATTATGAGATAAAAAGTCGAAATTATGACATACCAAGTCGTAATTATGATAAAGTCGAAATTATGAGATAAAAAGGCGCAATTATGACATACCAGGTCATAATTATAATAAAGTCGAAATTATGAGATAAAAAGTTAATTATGACACAGTAAGTCGTAATTATGATAAAGTCGAAATTATAAAATAAAAGGGCAAAATTATGACGTACCAAGTCGTAATTATGATAAAGTCGAAATTATGAGATAAAAAGTTTTAATTATGACACACTAAGTCGTAATTATGATAAAGTTGAAATTATGAGATAAAAAGCTGAAATTAAGACATACCAAGTCGAAAATTATAATAAAATCGAAATTATGAGATAAAAAGTTTTAATTATGACACACTAAGTCGTAATTATGATAAAGTTGAAATTATGAGATAAAAAGCTGAAATTAAGACATACCAAGTCGAAAATTAAGATAAAGTCTAAATTATGAGATAAAAAGTCGAATCTTATGACATACGAAGTCGAAAATTATGACAAAGTCGAAATTATGCCATACCAAGTCGAAAAGTGTCATACAAGTCGAAAACTGACATACAAAGTCATAATTATGATAAAGTCAAAATTATGAGATAGAAGGTTGAAATTATGAGATACAAATTTGAAAATAACATACTAAGTCATAATTATGATAGTCACAATTATGAGATAAAAGGTTGAAATTATGAGATACAAATTTGAAATTAACATACTAAGTCATAATTATGATAAAGTCAAAATTATGAGATAAAAGGTTGAAATTATGAGATACAAATTTGAAATTAACATACTAAGTCATAATTATGATAAAGTCTAAATTATGAGATAAAAGGTTGAAATTATGAGATACAAATTTGAAATTGACATACTAAGTCAATGACGTAGCGATAATTATTACATACTAAATCGTAATTATGATAAATTTGAAATTATGAGATAACATTTTTTAAACTGACATTCTAAGTCATAATGACATAAGTGATAATTATGAAATATCAGGTCATAATTATGATAAATTTGAAATCCTAAGTTATAATGACACAAGCGATAATTATGACACACCAGGTGGTGATTATGATAAGAGTAGAAATTGACCCACCCTAACCCTAGAGTAGAAATTATGAGATAAAAATGTTTAAACTCATAAATAAGTGATAATTATGACATACTATAAAGTCATAATTATGTCATACTAAGCCATAATTATGACACTTTAAGCCATGTATAGTAGCTATATAGAACCTTTTTGGTATAAAGCGTCTTTAAAATTGATCTAGGACCGTAGAGTTGCTCATCTTTTCTCTTGAATCATGTCTCTGTCCCGGAGTTGATGTGAATCTGCAGGTGTTCGTGGTCTACCTGGAGTCTACAGAAGTGTGCATGAACGAGGCTCTCTGAACGGGTTACTGGCCGCCGGTACTCCCACCAGTAGCGAATCTTTACTGGCGTTCTGGAGGCAAAACTGCTGAAGATCTGCGGCCGCCTGAGAAACCTGCATCGCAAACACACACAGATCAAACTTTACATTAGACATCATCATCATAACCTGTGTGTGATGCAGAAAATGACAGATCGTTTCACCAGATGAGATTGTGTCTTCTTTAAGTTTATCATGCTTCACTTAATTTTGATTTATTTCCCCATAAAACAGGACATAATATGTTTTCGCATTTCACTACTTTAGTAAATCCATCTTGATTTAAGAATTTTTAGATATTTGGACTGGAAACAAGACAAAAATACTAAGTAAGAAAAGCATTTTTGCAGTGCTTTAAGAGTGAATTCATAAGTCAATAGCATTGCGTCTGAGTATTTTCTCTTTAAAAACCGTGGACCAAAGAACGCCCCTGTTTCCTGCATCACAAACATGTGACCAATCCCGTCACATGTGGGCGGGGCTTTTGTCCACTGACTTTCTAATGATGCAGATTTTTCTCAGACTGAGATGGTGAACGGGAACATTGTTTGTGTAACATTAGCAATACATTACTAATTTGCATATTCAGGAAACCACAAATACTAAATGAAGCAAGAGTGTAGAGTTACAGTCAAGCTATTTTAAGGCATAAAGAAATTATTTTCACAGGAAAAAAACGTGTAATTTTGATTATTAAAGATGGGTTTGGTTTTAAGGGGTAGAAATTACGGATTGAAATTAGGCTATGAGATAAAAAAAACTTTAAAATATGACAAACTATGTTAATGATTACGGCATAATTATGAGATAAAAATGTGAAAGTGAGATAAAAAGTCGAAAATTATGACATAATGGCATAATAAATCATAATTATGAGATTAAAAAGTCGAAATTGGAATAAAAAGTAAAAAATATGACATCAACAACTAAAGCTATAGAAAGCGTTTTCAACTCTTTGTCAAGCCTATTTATCTTTTGTCATATTGTCATGAAATTATCACAATGCTAAGGAATATTAATGCTAAGGAAAACACCGTTGAGAGCAGCAGGGTTATAATGTGGTTATTCATCTCATATGCTGCCATTATAAGCAAACATACATACATACTAGAGACAACATTTGACTGACTGTTTTGTGTGAAAGAACCGTATCGTATAACTTACTGTACACTTTCAACTGAAGAGATGTTTAGTTAATGTTCCTTACTTTGATTCTCTCCACGCTGGCTTCAAGTTTGAGCTGCTCAACAGTCCGTCTCATGATTGTGAGGGTTGAGTTTGAAGACATGGTTATGATTATGAATCCTATCAGGACAGATGAAGGGAAGTGTGTCTGATGAGCGTAAGATGTTTCATGTGATGCGTGAGTGAAGCAGAACGACAGTTTATTTCCAGTCAGAGTCAGAGAGCGCGCAGTGGGCGTGTGTAATGGCGTGGCTCTGGGCGTGTCTGTGGGCGGGGCCTTGAGCGCGGAATAATTTCAGATAATTTTAGAACATGCACTGGCCATAAATATCTTCCCAGCCCTACCATGTATTTAATACGGAAGTACGGAAGCCCTGAACCGCAACCTAAAAAAAAAAAATCAGTAAAAAAAAAAATCAGTAAAAAAAAAAAATATATATATATATATATATATATATATATATATATATATATATATATATAGCATTTCGAGATTAAAGTCGAAATGTGTCGAGATTAAAGTCGGAATGTTTCGAGATTAAAGTCGAAACATTGTGCATTCATAACAGTGCGCGTCCACTGGCTCAGAGCGCGCGCGTGTGTGTGTGTGAAGTCGAACTGCCATGGATAAACCCAAAATAGTAGCTTTTTACTTTTATCTGGGCTTTCAACAAAATTCTACACACGTCACACGTGCTAGTGGCAGTGTTTCTGAGGTGTTTTCGTGCTCGTCTAGTCAACACTATCTGGGTCGAGAACACAACAGTAACTGTTCGGTCTCCCTCTTCACCGTAAATACGCTCTGGATACATTTTAAGTGCATCATTCTGTATCCAATCATTTGGCCGGATCCTGTGATTTCCTAAGATTTAATAACCACTTATGGTTGAGGAGAGATTCTCTGATATGATTGTAAAGCACTTTGAGTGTAGGCATATATGAAAGCGCTATATAAATGCCCTGTTCATTCATTCATTCATTCATTCATTCATAAAGCTGGATTTCTCCATCCAGTCTGAAAAGTGTTTTCCGTGTTAGTTTTCCTATAGGCTAAAGTCTATTCCGGCGCATTATATTTTATAACGATAAAGTATGATAAGTAATTCAGATAAAAGTAAAAAGCTACTATTTTGTGTTTATCCATGGCAGTTCGACTTCACACACACACGCGCGCGCTCTGAGCCAGTGGACGCGCACTGTTATGAATGCACAATGTTTCGACTTTAATCTCGAAACATTTCGACTTTAATCTCGAAACATTTCGACTTGAATCTCGAAACATTCCGACTTTAATCTCGAAACATTTCGACTTTAATCTCGAAACATTTCGACTTTAATCTGGAAATGCTAGATTTTTTTTTTTTTTTGAAAGATTTTTTTTTTTTTTTTACTGACTTTTTTTTTTTAGGTTGCGGTTCAGGGCTTCCGTAATTTTAAATGCCAACAACAAAAAATAAACATTCTTAGCAGTAGACCATTTCAAAACATACTTATGAGATTAAAAAGTCATTAAATCAGTTAGATAGATAGATAGATGGATGGATGGATGGATGGATGGATGGATGGATGGATGGATCGATAGATCGATAGATCGATAGATCGATAGATCGATAGATCGATAGATAGATAGATAGATAGATATTTTGGACATGGCGAACCTGTCGATATAAATATATAATATTATAAATGATGAAGACCTTTATTATGAAATGACTTCCGGTTAGGTTGTCGTCACAGTAGCTGCATTCACACTAACTGCTCTCTCCTGCTCCCTCTTCCTTATTCTGTCCACCAAATGCAGTGATCGATTCGTGTTCATCATCATCATCACCAGTCATTACATTTATCGATAAAGGTAAAGCGTTTGCAATCGTTGTGATTTATTTCGCACAAAGATGTCCGGCATGACGTCATAACGCTCACGTGCTTTGTGTGTAAAATACGTCTTTGACGTAACGAGATGGCAACGGAACCAGCGTCCATGGAAACAGGATTATAATTGATATATAAATGCTTCTGAAAATTAATCTGTTGATATTCCAGCACACAGATTGATGGAACTGATTCCTGTTCTCGAGCCGGAGGAGAAGCCTCGGGACAGACAGTGGTATCAGCTTGTTTCTATGTTAAATGCAGTGTGTGTGTGTAACAAGTAACTTGAGTTACGTTATCAGATTACTTTAAAGTAACTTGTAAAGTAACGGATTACTTTTCAAATTTACAACAAAGTATCTGAGTTACTTTTTCAAACTTTGTTTTCCCATTTATTGACTGAAAGCTCTCCTGTCCTCATGTTGAGATTAATCATTAGTGCAGAGTGTTGCACAATGTTGTAATGCATTATTTTCAAAGTAACTTTCCACAACACTGGTTATATGTGTTTCTCTCGCAGTGTATCGACTCTAACGTGTGTGTGTGTGTGTGTGTGTGAGAGAGAGAGAGAGAGAGAAATTTAAATGATTATATTAGTTAATGTTTTGTTTTTTCACAATTATTATTATTATTAGGGATGCAAAACTAAATTGGTGACTATATTAATAACTGCCATACCTATCTTTTGTCATATTGGCATGAAATCACATCTACACAGAATGCTTAATTAACAACATCTATTATTAATACTGTGTGTGTATAATTAAACGTGTGTGTGTAGGTATGTGGTGTCGGCCTCAGGTGCGGCTCCAGGTGTTTCTGTGGGTCACACCTGTGTGTTTCTGCCCTCCGCTGATGGAGGCAAGGGGAGGATTGTAGTCGTCGGCGGAGCCAATCCTGACGGGAGCTTCTCTGAGTCCTACGTGATGAATCTGGGTAATAATAATGGGGTTAGGGTCATGTGACCAGGGTATGAGCTGGTTACAGTCTTAATTCATTCATTAATAATTAAAAAAAATAAAATAAAAAAAATAAAAAGCAGATTATATAAATTATAAAATAAATAAATTATCAACTAAAAAAAATTAAAAATATATTAAAATAAATAAAGAAATTAGATTAGAATAGATAACTAAAAACATAAGTCAATAAAAAGGAGGATAAAATAAATAAATGTGGTCTGGTTACAGCGTTAAAGGGACAGTTCCCCAGAAATGAAAATTCTATCAACATTTACTCACCATTCCAAACCTTTCTTCTGTCAACATTAAAAAAAGATATTTTGAAGAATGTTGGTAACCAAACAGTTGAAAATACTTTTTAAAGTACTATGGAAGTCAAAATGTTCTTCAAAATATCTTCTTTTGTGCTCATCAGTCGAAAGAAACTCTTAAAGAGTTATTTATTTATTTCTGGGTGAACTGTCCCTTTAAAGCAGAGAATCTGTGAGATGTTGTGTTTGTTTTGCAGATACTCATGAATGGGAGGTTCCAGAATGGGCGGGTTTGCAGGCGCGTTACGAACACTGCAGCTTCGTCCCCGAGATCGAGCCGAGGAGTGTGTGGGTGTTCGCTGGAGCTCAGAAGAGCGGGAACCGCAACTGTGTCCAAGTGCTGCGCGCATCAGGTGCATAAACACACACACATATTAACCTTGTGCATTGTGTAATTTATTCCAGTGATCAAAGCTGAATTCATCATCATTACTCCAGTCTTCAGTGTCACGTGATCCTTCAGATATCACTCTAATATGAGGATATACACAGTTGCTAGGGTGTTCTGGGCGGTTGTTATGGTGTTGCTATGCGGTTGGTAGGGTGTTCTGGGTGGTTGCTATTGTGTTATGATTGGTTTCTAGGCCATTGCTAGGGTGTTGTGGGTGGTTGCTATGTGGTGAATAGGATGGTCTGGTTGGTTTCTAGGGAATTGCTAGGCGGTTGCTAAGGTATTCTGGTCGGTTGCTATAGTGTTGCTAGGTGGTGGTGTTCTAAGCGTCTGATAGTGTGTTGCTAGGCAGTCGGTACTCGCTAGTTGTCACATGTTACTATGGAGTTTTAGCACTTAGATAAATCGCTATTAGCATGTAGCTACTAGCTATTCACTGCAATTTGTACCCTGTTCGAACATAGATATCCATAATAAAGGCTAGATGTCTTACAGCGGAGTCTTGTAGCGTCATCACTGGTGGTGGCCATCTTGTCACAGGCAAGATCTGTGGTTCCTGATGTAAGATGAGTGACCAGCACAACACACAAATACTCTTATCTCGTTGAAATCTTGACGGATTTACAAACGGTTTGGTTTCTTACAAACGTTATTAACGTGGGTATAATTCTGTATGATTATTTATTTATACACTTATTATTCATAAGTATGCAGTCTCATAACTACATCTGTGACGTTTTTAACAAACCAAAACGTTTGAAAATCGGTAGAAAATTGAGCAAGTTATGGTTATTTAACAAGTACATGCACCATTAAAAAAGAATGTTACGAGTGAGCGAGCTGTGACAAGATGGCCGCCAGGTGCGGACGTCGCCCTCCATTGGCCAGCAGTGAGGACGAGACATCTAGCCTTTATTATGGCTATCTATGTGTTGGAAATCCTGTTTCCTAGCTTGAGTCAAAATAGTCAAACCCCCATGTTTATACGATGTTTTAGCAACGCCATAGCAACAACCTGGAACACCCTAACTGCCAAGCAACCACCCAGAATACCTTAGTAACCACATAGCAACACCCTAGCAACCACCCAGACCAACCTAGTAACGCCTAGCAATGCCTTAACAACCACCCAGGATACCCTAGCAATCGCATAGCAACACCCTAGCAACAACCAAGATAAACCTAGCAACACCCTAACAACCATCCAGAATAGCCTAACAACTGCATAGCAACCACCCAGAAAACTTTAGCAAACCACCTAGCAACACCCTAACAACCACCCAGGATACCCTAGCAACCACGTGCCGAGTTTTGCCACGGCAAGCTACACTCACATTTTGTTCAGGAAATGTACATGACAGCTATTTCAAATTGTAATATTATTTCACTGTTTTTAATGTATGTTTGATCAAATAAACGCAATCTTGGTCTTTCAAAATCTTTGAATGAATGCAGAGGGTTTGTGGGAGACGGTGTCAGTGAAAGGAGATCCTCCCTCAGTCAGGACGTACCACACAAACTCAGCCTGCGTTGGAAACAGGCTCTACGTGTTTTCGGGAGGCGACGCCGGCGCAGATCCAGTCACCGATACACACGTCCACGTTTTTGATTCAGGTCTGACAAACACAAACACAAACACAAGAGCTTAAAGGGTTAAAGGGAAATGAAGCGTGATCATGTATCTACAGTCACTGCGACCTGGACGCGGCCGGAGAGCGACGGGACTCCTCCTACGCCGCGGCACGGTCACGCGATTACAGCTGTGGGGTCCAACGTCTACATCCACGGAGGAATGTCTGGAGAGACGCTTTACGACGACATGTTCCTGCTGGACACGGGTGGGTCTTCAGATCCTCTGCTGGTGCTTGACTGATGTTTTCCCGCTATTTTAGTACCTCAAGTTACACTAAATTAAAATTAAAATCTAGCACTAACAAAGCCTAGCAACTAGCTTAGGACATTCTAGCAACGTGTAAAATCATGCTAGCAATATGTTAAAACATTCTAGCAATGTGCTAAATCATGCTAATTCACGTTAACAACAGCTATGTAATTCTAGCAACATGTTAATTTATGTTAGCACGTTAAACCATGCTAGCAACATGTAAAAAAAATGCTATAAACGTGATAAATCATGTTAGCAACATGTTAAAACTAGCGGCTTATTAAAACATGCAAATTTATGTTAATTTATGCTAACAACATGATGTTAAAACATGTTAGAAGCATGCTAAATCATCCTAGCAACATGATAATTCAGGCTAAAACATGCAAATTTAGGTTAACAACATATTTCATTTTAGCAATGCTTTAAAACATGCTAGCAAAGTGCTAAATCATGTTAGCAACATGCTAATTTGTTTTAACAATGTGTTAATGTCACTTGCTAGCTAGAGGATGATGTCATGCCCTTAGTTTCGACAGGAAAACCTAGTAGTTTATTATTTTTTTCTCTCATGGCTGTTTAGAAACTATGAAATGGGAGAAAGTGAAAGCGAAAGGCGAGATCCCGCCGGGAGTGGCAGCGCATTCATCTGTAAGCTTTGGGAAAAACATCTTCATCTTTGGAGGAATGACATCAGAAGGAGCCACAAACTCCATGTATAAGTTTCAGTGCGGTACGAACTAATGATAATATCTCAAATACTATTCATTATATATAGTATTATTTTGAATATTCAATACAGGTCATTCTGAAGCACAAGAATTTGCTTAGACTTTACAATGTGTTAAATTTATTTAGCAATGTGATAAATCGTGCTAACAACATGCTAATCATGCTAGCAATGTGTTAAATCTTGTTAGCAACATTTTAAATCATGCTAGCAATATGCTAAATAATAATGTTAGTAATATGTTACATTTTGCTATCAACATGCTAATCACGTTAACAATGTGCCAGCAGACATGTTAAATCAGGCTAGCAACATGCTAAATCATTTTAGCAACATGTTAAATTGTGTTATCAACATGCTAATCATGTTAAAAACGTGCCAGCAAACATTTTAATGATATAAAGGTTAAATAAAATATAAAATCAAATCAAAATATTATCAAAGCATCTAAGATTTCTTCTGCCCTGACAGACGAGCGGCGCTGGACGCTGCTGCAGTTCGAATGCGATCTACCTCCGGCCCGGTTGGATCACTCCATGGTTTTGGTGCCATGGCGTGTGACGACGGCGGGCCGAGAAACACGCGACGAAGACGAGCAGCGGCTGTGTTTCATCTTCGGAGGAATGGACACGCAGGGCGTCATATTCAACGACTGCCTCGTGACGCTGCTCACGTGAAACGCTCAATAAATGTGTTTGTCTTAAAATGGCTGAACTGATGTTCTGTTCGATTCAACAAGATTTTCAGCGTGAAACTATAAAACTCGACATTGAGACGCTGAGTCTGAGATTTACTTCTTGGTTTTAATCCGGTTTGATTGGCCGATCATATACACCTAATCTTTACATTCATGCCGACTTCTACGAAAAACTTCTACAATTGATAAATTTTATTTATTGTTAAATCATGTCAGCAATGTGTTAAATCATGCTAGCGACATGCTAAATTGTGCTATCAACATGCTAAGTATGTTAACAACATGCTAATCATTCTTGCAACATGTTAATAATGTGTTAAATCTTGTTAGCAACGTTTTAAATCATGCTATCAACATGCTACTCATGCTAGCAACGTGTTCAATCTTGTTAGCAATGTGTTAAATAAGGCTTACAACATGCTAAATCATGCTAACAACATGTTAAATCATGAACCTGGAGATCTGTACAATTCAAGATTTTCAGCGTAAAACTATAAAACTCTACATTGAGACGCTTCATCGATGAAAGGGAATCTCTCAGATTTAATTTTTGGTTTTAATCCGGTTTGATTACCCGATCATATAAACCTAATTTTTACATTCATGCCGACTTCTACAATTAATTGAATTTTATTTATTGTTAAATCATGCTAGCGACATGCTAAATTGTGCTATCAACATGTTAAGTATGTTAACAATGTGCTACTTATTCTAGCTACATGCTAACGATGTTTTAAATCTTGTTAGCAACGTTTTAAATCATGCTATAAACATTAGACGCATGCTAACAACATGCTAGCAACATTTTCAATCTTATCAAATTGTGTTAAACAAGGCTAACAACATGCTAAATCATGATAGCAACATGTTAAATCTTGTTAGCAATGTGTTAAATATGGCTAACAACATGCGAAATCAAAACACATACTGTAATCGATTTTCAGCATGTTTATGAACGCGTTGACTTAACGCTATTACTGTATATAGCCTATAAATATATGACCTACCTCAACCCCGTCCCGTCACTGGGGTTAATAGCATTTATGAGTGTTTGCTCAAAATCGCTTCCCAGATGTAGATCTACATTTTGCTTCGTTTTGCTCGGACATTTAACGGCGATTACATACACGCGGAATCACTCGGACGTTAATGGCGTAGACATACACGCGGATAGCTCAATATGCGTAGAGATAACATGCCACTTGAGTCGAAAGTGGCGTGTATGTTTACGCAAAAGTCATGATGTCATGTTGGTAAAACCATAGATATGTATAATGGGTAAAACTATAAAACTCGACATTGAGACGCTGAGTCTGAGATTTACTTCTTGGTTTTAATCCGGTTTGATTGGCCGATCATATACACCTAATCTTTACATTCATGCCGACTTCTACGAAAAACTTCTACAATTGATAAATTTTATTTATTGTTAAATCATGTCAGCAATGTGTTAAATCATGCTAGCGACATGCTAAATTGTGCTATCAACATGCTAAGTATGTTAACAACATGCTAATCATTCTTGCAACATGTTAATAATGTGTTAAATCTTGTTAGCAACGTTTTAAATCATGCTATCAACATGCTACTCATGCTAGCAACGTGTTCAATCTTGTTAGCAATGTGTTAAATAAGGCTTACAACATGCTAAATCATGCTAACAACATGTTAAATCATGAACCTGGAGATCTGTACAATTCAAGATTTTCAGCGTAAAACTATAAAACTCTACATTGAGACGCTTCATCGATGAAAGGGAATCTCTCAGATTTAATTTTTGGTTTTAATCCGGTTTGATTACCCGATCATATAAACCTAATTTTTACATTCATGCCGACTTCTACAATTAATTGAATTTTATTTATTGTTAAATCATGCTAGCGACATGCTAAATTGTGCTATCAACATGTTAAGTATGTTAACAATGTGCTACTTATTCTAGCTACATGCTAACGATGTTTTAAATCTTGTTAGCAACGTTTTAAATCATGCTATAAACATTAGACGCATGCTAACAACATGCTAGCAACATTTTCAATCTTATCAAATTGTGTTAAACAAGGCTAACAACATGCTAAATCATGATAGCAACATGTTAAATCTTGTTAGCAATGTGTTAAATATGGCTAACAACATGCGAAATCAAAACACATACTGTAATCGATTTTCAGCATGTTTATGAACGCGTTGACTTAACGCTATTACTGTATATATAAATATATGACCTACCTCAACCCCGTCCCTAAACCTACCCGTCACTGGGGTTAATAGCATTTATGAGTGTTTGCTCAAAATCGCTTCCCAGATGTAGATCTACATTTTGCTTCGTTTTGCTCGGACATTTAACGGCGATTACATACACGCGGAATCACTCGGACGTTAATGGCGTAGACATACACGCGGATAGCTCAATATGCGTAGAGATAACATGCCACTTGAGTCGAAAGTGGCGTGTATGTTTACGCAAAAGTCATGATGTCATGTTGGTAAAACCATAGATATGTATAATGGGTAAAACTATAAAACTCGACATTGAAACGCTTCATCAATGAAGGGGAATCTTTGAGATTTACTTATCGTTTTAATCCTGTTCGATTGCCGATCATATAAACCTAATCTTTACATTCATGCAGACTTCATAAATATTTGAGAAATTTCTACAATAAATTGAATTTGAATTTTTTTTGACAAATACTGGGTTTCTCAAAATGTTGTTTGAACGTTGATGAAAATCTAATTAAATTGTAGGTGTAAAATTAAAAATAACTAAATAAACAATCAAATTAAATGAGTGCTGTCAGATTAATCGCATCTAACATTAAAAATATATAAACATTTACAAGCTTTTATGTTAGATGTGATTAATAGACTTGACAGCACAGAAATAAATACTTAGGCTACCGAAATAGTAAAATATTGTATTTGTTTACCTGTATGTCAAACCATGAATATCTGAATGTGTTGTTGAATTATTGACATTAACTTCAGGGGAATTCTGACTCAAGAGTTCAACTGCCAAAAATAAAGTCCCTGTTTTAATGGAGTTAAAAAAAAAGTTTAAAGTACATTTCAGCGCAACAAAATATATTTCTCAGTTCAGACATTTTAATTCAGGAGACACTCATTCTCTCAGATTTAGCCAAGTCATGTTCCTGGATCAACACACTCATTCTCTCTCTCCCTCACACACACAAACTCTCTCTCTCACAGACTTGCCAGGTCATGTTCCTGGATCAACATTCCTGTACATATTAAATCCTAATCCTACCCCTAAACTCAAACCAAATTATTCCCAGAACTTCTCCCTGAAATCAGAGGAAAATGGTGAACACTGATGTAGAAGCATAGATATATACACTAGACCTCACCTTGGATACGGCAGTTCATTAGAACGAATGCGTCAATAGAGCCGCCATCTTGAAACAGGGGAGCCCCTCCACTTTAATGCATCAGCGTCAATGTAGTAGACACAGGTCTAATGCAAATAAAATCACCATAAATCATCATGAATGCGATTTTTCTTGTTTGTTCCAACGGTCAGACATATATTTATCATTGACTCCAGAAAGATTTTTTTTTTTTTTTTTTTTTAAACATTCTTCCTAGTTCAGATTTCATCCGTGAACTTCATACGCTGCACAAAAGCCCGCCACCATCAATGAATTTGAAGTAAAGGCAGAGATAGCAGCATTACCAAGCTACTTCCTATGACAAGACCCCTGTTCCAAGATGGCGGCGGTTTTGACGCATGCTTAGAAGCCCCAGGTGATGTCTAGTGTATACATCTATGATGTAGAAGCACCAACTCTCTCTGCAAGCCTAACTCGTCCCTCACATCTGATCGGCTGAATGTTGATCAAGGAACATGTACTTGGTGACATCACATTCACACACTCTTATTCACCAACACCAAGTGGGAGTTTGTGTTCGTATTGGTGAATAAGAGTGTGTAGAAGCACCAAGCCTACATTCGACAAACTGTAAATTGGTTCCTCAGCTCTGATTGGCTGAATGTCGATCCAGCAACATGCACAACACAAACACGGTAATTTTGTATCAAACTTTTATTGTTTAATCGTGGTAGAAATATCTTCTACAGTTTGCCAGATTTCAATAAATAACTTTTAGCATGTCAGATGAAACTTTACCCAGAACCCCCTCCTCCCCCCTCCCAGAACTGCCTGAGAATAGCAGCATCGAGCCTCAAAACCAGGCTAAATCTCCACCGGAGTGAAGAGAAAACAACAACGCTTTAACACAAGTCTTTCCCCGTGGCTCCACGGCCGCCGGCTTCGTACAAAAATGTCCAATATGTACATCATCTCCGTGCATCTACAACTCGTCCTTCTCAGCCTGGTCCTCGCCCTCCTCCGGCGGCGGCCCGCCAGCGCTACCGTACAGCTTGCTAACGATAGGCTGAACGATCTCCTCCAGCTCCTTCTTCTTGGCCTGGAAGTCTTCGATGTCGGCCTCCTGGTGCGACTCCAGCCACTCGATCTTCTCCTCCACCGCCTTCTCGATCGCCTCCTTGTCTTCGCCGGACAGCTTCCCGCCGAGCTTCTCTTTATCCCCGATCTGGTTCTTCAGGGAGTACGCGTAGCTCTCCAGCTCGTTGCGCGCGTCGATCCGCTCCTTCAGCTTCTTGTCCTCGTCGGCGAATCGCTCGGCTTCGTTCACCATGCGCTCGATGTCCTCGGGCGTCAGCCGGTTCTGGTCGTTGGTGATGGTGATCTTGTTCTTGTTCCCGGTGCCTTTGTCCTCGGCGGTGACGCGCAGGATGCCGTTGACGTCGATCTCGAACGTGACCTCGATCTGAGGGACGCCGCGAGGGGCCGGGGGGATTCCGGTGAGGTCAAAGGTCCCCAGAAGGTGGTTATCTTTGGTCAGGGGACGCTCACCTGGAGAGAGAGAAGCAGAACTGATTAATTATGTGATCTGATGTCATCAAATATGTCCCTCACTTTAGAAATGTACACTGTATCGGTTCACCTTTAACCCTTGTGCATCAATTTAAAAAAAAGTTAGACATAAGTAAAAAGAGGACAAAAATGTCCATGTCAAAGACGCTTCGGAGCACAGACTTAAGTTTGGTGTCATTTTGAAGAAGACCCTTTGCAGATTATTGCTGAAGTAAAAAAATAATAAGTAAATCCAAAAAAAAGTTATATAGGTTAATTTTTTAATAAAATATATATTTTATAAATCAGGTTGAACTCAAAACTGCAATAAAATCCAAGGCATGAATCTAAATAGGTTGAGGATGATATCTCAAAAAATGAGCTTTGGGTAACAGTTTGTTTGGGCGTAGTAACATATTTTCCCCACTGGAGCTCACAGTGATTGGATTTGAATTTGCAGTTTTTCTCTCTCAGTATTACAAACACACACACATATTTTTTTATAACACACATACTAACCACACTCTGACATCCATACCAACACACCCACACAAATATCGTTACATAATTTATCCAGTTGGCTCTGTAGTATGCCGAAGCAGAAAACAGGAATAAAGCGATATTTGTTTTATACGCCAAACTTAAAAAAGAAAATGGCACCATCTGATAAAAAAAAAAAAATAGTAAAAACTACAACTTTGAAGCA